TCGGTGTCCACACATGTGCTCCAAATCGAGCGACAATTCTGGATGCAGCCTCTCCAGCGGTAACTTATCGCAATGTGATCGATCTGCGTGCAAGGCTGGTTCGAGGTTGGTGGGCGCCAAGTCACCCTTCGGCGGGTGCTGTGTCGGAAATTAGTGCTCGCAAGAAATAAGCGAGCATCTTCACACAAATGAAGTAACCGCTCACCGTTATCATTACGGGAGCCTACACCGTGTTGACCGCCCAGATGCAGTTCATCAGTGGACAACTTTCCAACTTGTGCGTTCATATCCCCAGCCAGCACAACAGTGTCCGTGCTTCTTCTGTGGCGAAGGAGCTGGGTCAGTTGGCGGTAGAAGTCGTTCTTTACCGAATCATCGCTACAGTTTGTGGGCGCATAGGCAGCGATGATGAATAGACATCTATTAGTCCCGCGCGACTTCGAAGCTTTAAACGAGCCAGCCAATCGGACCGCACACATCCGGCTACTGATTGGAATCCAATCAACCAGAGCAGCTTCAGCCCGGGGACTCAGGGCAATACCAACACCGGCTTGGCCGGTGCTCGAAGCTGCATCGTCACCGGATAGGCGCAAGGAGAAAATACTGCTTGCGTCCCCTGAAGGGGATCGCAGAGTGAGCACAGTGCTCGAGTCTTGCAGGCGAGTCTCTGATAAGCAGCAGATATCGATCGAGAGGGTCTCCAATGTTCGGGCAAGTGCTGCCTGTTGACCGATTTGTAGCAGTGTGCGTACATTGAGGCATGCCAATCTGAAGGAGGATCGAGGGCTCCAAATGGAAGCCGATGAACTGGATTGGACCGCTTGGTTGGACATGGGCTTGTCGACAGGAGAGGAGTGACGCTCCGCGTTCACGTGTGAGTTGAAATTAGAAGGTAAATGCCTAGCAAAGCATGTTGGGGGAGGGCCAAGAATCGGGGGTTGAAAACTGGGGGGATATAAGTGAAGTTGGAATGGGACGGTAAGAGTGAAAAAGCGTAAGAGGGGGAATAAGAAGACGGGAAGGCTTGAGCAGTAGCATCCAAACCCCTATCCACCCTGCTCGATGCAGCAGATAGGGCACCGTTTATTATCCTCTGCGGTGGCCAGAGCATCAAGAAATTGTTTGAAGGAAAATTCATAGTATTGCGTGGGCAGGATACTGTCAGGTTGCCCATGCCTAGACAGGAGAACGATTAGGGTTCTCAACCAAAGCCTTTGGTTCAAAAACCTGACCGCAAGGCAGCGGGTTTGGCGTTGGGCTACAAGGAGTCCATTTTAAGGAATAAGGAGCCACCCTCATTCCAACCCCCAACCTGGAGGACCAGGAGGCTGAGTTTGTCTGGCCTCTAACCATTGACCAATCTGGTATGAGTGACTCTGAAAGTGCAAAAGCACCACCCAGCGTAGCTCAATGGATCGCTGAGGCACACAAACCATCGCACCACGGTAAGGTCCAGCCTCATTGCGATGGGAAAAAAACCGAATAGTTTGATCACGTTCAGTACATCCACGGACTTGAGGTTTTTCAGGATTCGTGCCCTAGAGTGCAAGCGGATACTCCAGTTGGTAGTTTTTCCCAGATTCTAGCGTACTTGTTATGGAAAATTCCGCTGACTTGCTGGTCCTGGACTTGTAGTTTGTTAATGAGTTCTTCTTTTTATTTCATGTGTTGTAGACGGCTGATTGCATTTATGGTCGGTTAAGGCTGAAAACATGTGTATTTCCCCTGTGCAAGATGTTACAAAATGTGGCTAGGTTGTGCTTCAGGCGCCATAGCCATAACGGACCAATCTTGTGCTTATCACATTTCTCCCAAGATTCCAGTGTTGAGGAAGCACCTAAGAGGCCTTTTGTGAATTCTCTGCGCTTGTTCAAATGCAATACAGTCGAGCTTTATTGAGCTACTTTACATCACCGAACAATATTTCATCGTGGGTCGAACAAATGAGATATAAGAATGAAGTCTGGACTGGCATTGAGAAAAAGGTAAACATAAACCCAGTGTTCTTGCTTACTCTCGCGCTAACATAACCTGCTTGTTCACAGAGGTCAAATAAGCGTGAATATCGCAATAGAACAATTGTATAATGCAGACGAAAAAGCCAAAGCTGGACAAGTCCCGTAGAATGGTTTATGTGAATTACCAAAACTCAATAAAAAGAAGTTACACTAAAGTGCAACGCGCATCAGTGGACTCACCATATTATCCACAATAACACCGATTTATATCCGTTTGCCATGATTTCATGTGCGTTGGTGAGTACGATGTTTGTCTGCGTCTTGTCATCACTTAATGAACATAAATTAAATCAAATACTGTAGGAGACATAATGCATCATTGAGTCGTTTTTAATAAAATGGGCAGATTGGCAGCAGAAAAACGCGTTCCATCGTGATAGATTCGAAGAGGAAAATAGTTCCAATGGCATTCCAACCGATTGTATTTGTTAGCTAGTTTCAGCTGCTGACCCCTCAATTTTTGTTACGGCTGAGTTTCTGGAGGCGGTAAGCATGACCGGAGCTTTCAGTATCTGGAACGCCAGAATCTGGTCGCCCCGTAGAAGGTGATATCTTCCGCTGTACACTCCCAGGGCTTTCATTCGCAGATGGAAACTCAGGTGGAACACTTCCTTCAACCTTTTTGCTTGCCCTTCGCTGTGCGATTTCCAGTGCAACCAGATCGCGTTTTAACCAGTGTTGCCAGGCATGGATCGCGTACTCTAACTGGGGCCTCACATACATATTGGACATTTGGGGGAATATGGAGTGGTTGAACCTCCCGAACGCCCTCCTTAAGAGACTAACATGTTGGTTCGCGATTTTGGACGCCTTCAAGGACTGCGCCGAACAGCCGGGCGAATCTTGCATCACCATCCAAGGTCGCGCTCCTGTGAGATGGTTTTCAACATGTGGTGTCCAAGCTTATATGCGTATGTGGGCTTGTGGCGTACATGCACAGTTTTACACTTGCCCGTGTTAAACGGAAGTAGATTTGCTTCCGAGCATTCAAAAGCGCACTCGGCCTCGTTACAACATATCGTGATCTTCCTGACAGTCGATTGCCCGACATATCTAGATGTCATCGACAAAAAGCAGGAAATTTGACTAGATGACACTCGCAAGGTCGTTAATGAAGAACAAGAATTACCGCGGCCCGAACACCGCCCCTTGTGGAACACGGCAGTCTACATCAATTGGATCAGAAAATGTACCTCGAACTCGAACCTGTATGCGCTGCTGTACGAGGAAGTTTCCGATCCATCCAAGGACATGGTTTTTAACTCCGTATGCTTACAGCTTTTGAAGAAGGATGCGGTGATCTATGCGGTCGAATGCTTTGAAAAAGTCTAGGTAAATGATACCAATGCCAGTCCCACTATTCCACTATCTCGGTCCAACTACCACGGGCAAGCAGTAGGTTGGTAGGATGCGACCGATGCTGACGGAATTCGTGTTGCTCAGGTGCCATGATATTAGACTTTTTGACGTAGCCCATTACAGCCTCCGCTATGATCGATACCATCACCTTTGAGAGCATCGGGAAGAGAATCGCTGGGCGATAGTTGGCTGGCTCTGAACAGCTACCACATTTGAAAATCGGGGTGATGAAGCCTTGCTTCCACATGCTAGGGATCTGCTGTTCATCCAGGCATCTTTGGAAAAATCTCGTTAACAGTTCAGCTATTCTTGTAGCTATCACCTGCAACGCTTTCAGGCGAATATTGTCAACTCCGGGGGAATTATGCATGCGCAACGACAGAAGTTTCCTCAAAGTGGTCGCTGAACTAGACGTGATGTGTGTATATACTGGCATCTGAGAGAACGGGACACGTATGTTACAAATGCCGGTAGCGCGTTTGAAAATTGGGGCATATCGTAGCCGTAGAACGTTGGCTACATCCTCGGCGGTTTGAGCACATTCATCCGCTAATATTAGTGGGGGAACATCACATTTCACATTCCGGAATCTGTTCACATGTCTGTACGGACGCTTTTTGTTAACACAAAACTTTTTCGCTAGACTCTGCTGGTGTACTAATTTGTCCTCGTGCACAAGTGTGGTACAGTGATTACGATGCACAAGATAGTTACTCCAGTTGTCATGGTTAGGGTTTTCTCTATACACACACCGCGCGGCGTCTCTTACTGTCATGTGTTTTCGCGTTCTGCTCCGAAGGTTGTGTCCTAGCAGCACGAAGGAGCTTGTTGACCGATGCAGATTTAATCAGATCACTGAGCTTCTAGTAAAATCCAACAAAGCACTGTCAATGGAACAGTCGTCCGGAAACTCCCAGGTGGTATCTCCCACAAGTTCTGCCAGTATGTCGTAGTGGGTGATTGTTCGAAACAAGTTAGTATGTTCTTGTTGATACTCCGCATAACACACGAAGTCGTAAATTATGGTTACGTGGTCGCTCCGACCCACAGGGCTCTCCAGACTTGGTTTCTCAATCATGATCTCTTTCTTCGTGAACACTAAAGCAAGCACAGACGGTTCATTTCCGGCTCTGAATCGGGTGGGTGAACTGGCATGGCTGAATAGCGGAATACTTGCAATATACTCTTGCAGTTCCGCCTTAAATTACTCCTTGAGGGATGATGTGCTTGTACAAACTAGACAAACAGGAGATTCGAACGTCTTCTTTGAGAAGAATCTGGATGTTTTGATCCAGGCCGATCTTGTATGTCAGAATCAGGCTGAAAAGGCGTCAAGGATGAGCATCCAACACGTGGACCTCCTGAAGCGTGCCTTCGGACGATTCGACCCTTCGATTTTTCTACAGCTTCTTGACTCATACATACGTCTACAAGTGAAGTAGCAATACCATTCTGGCAGCCATGGCTGAAGTGAGATCTCACAGCCTGGGAGGTACCCCAAAGCCGGGCAACCAGATATGTCAAAGTCCGTATATTTTGCTCCATAATCGAAAGCTTCGAGTCCTCGGGGTCTTCAGCGAACAATATCAGTGATCGCACAGGTACGTTATTTTGACTTAGTAGATTTTGTGAAATCCCAACCACACGTGTCGCCATTTGCTAGAGCTCAGTCACAACAGTAATTTGAGAGGCCACCATCTCAAGCTGACAGAGCAATACGGCCGTTTGAAATACCATCGGAATTTTTTCCGTACCCGTTTGCAAAACGTTGGATGCCCTGTCGGAATCTGTCATCTGTCCGCCGACGCTGGTCGAATTCAAAGCCCGAGTACTCATTTCGCTGCACCATCTCACATAACGCATTACTCACGGATAAACACAAGGGTCCGGCCAACCCAAAATGCGTTCCACCTTTTCCACTTCCCTTATGTCTGCACCAGAATGCGATACAATTTCTTACCAACGTCTCATTAGTCATCAATTCTTATGAATTACATTAGAGTAACAATTTATACAACCAATCCTGCGTAGAGTCCACCGGTGTACATCTAATTTTGCTGATAATCCTGCTGTATTTTGAAATTTTATCATGACCATCCTACGGAACCTATTAGGCTTTGTAATTTTTACCTGTATAAACCTTTGTTCCATTAAGCTACGCAACATCTGTCTACATTGAGTGGTAGGGCGTTCTGAACTGAACAGTTCGAAATCATGTTAAGATCACACTGGAGTACTTCGTGCTCGTCCGGTCCTCTGGTCGCTCACCGGATCTTGATATTATCTACGATAAATAGGAACTCGAGAACAACTGATCTCGCTAGATGGTTCATGAGAACCAAGAATACATGAGGGCCTAGCACTGGGCCTTGTGGTACACCGCACTCCACATCAATTGCATCGGCAGAGATTCCCAGACTTTCACTTCCAACGGACGTTCGTGTAGAAAATTGTTTGTCCAACCCAGGATTGAATCGCCCATGCGTAGTTCCGAAGCTTATGAAGCAGATTTCGATGGTTTAAGCAATCAAACATTTTCAGAAGTCCAGGTAGATGATATCGACTCCTGCTCCACCATCGACTACTTCAGTCTAGCTATTTCGTGCAATTTATAGGTTAGTTGTACATGATTGGTGTAGAGGGTGATCATCAACATCCCACTGGACCCCAGCGATCATTAAGTCCTACTCTTAGAATTCATTTGCTATGCAGAATATCCCGTGGAAATTGCCAATACAACAAAAAAGATCATACGCTACGACCTATTAGCTCGATTAGGGGAAACAGTGAACTGGACCTTTCTGGCAAACGAGGAACCAGCTAGCGCATGCGAACATTTCGTCAGCTAGTTTAACTCTCAGGTTGCCGAAGCGTCAGCGACTAAGACCTTCCGCCCGATAAACGTGGACTCGTTTGTGGGAAGCAGGACACGCAAGTGCATAGCGGTGCGAAACTCAGCCTGGCATATCTCCAAACTCTTTCCGAGCACCGAGAACTGGAAGGCCCATACGACCATTGTACTCAACTTGTTCACGAAGATAGAATGGAGTACCAGCAGTAGTTGGCGGTGCGTATGGCCTCAAACCACATGCTTCTGTATTAGCACGTCAACAGTCTACGTAAAAGGAAACGGGGAATACCTCTTCAAACAGCGGACAGACTCACACGGACACCGAAAGAGGCGGCGAATACCCTGCGCCTACAGTATGCTGCAACATTTCAGTACGATCACTGGCCACATAACCATATGATAATGGTTGTCTCACTCCTTAAAACTTACTCACATTTCCTTCACAGCAGAAGCTATATTAAAAAAGCTGTTGAGTATGCGCAAGAACAGCTCTCCTGGAGTTGAAAATGTACAAAGGAAATCACTAGCGGCGGTAGGAGAGAGTTTAGCTGAGCGTTTGGCTCGATTCTTCCAACACTGTTCTGACGAAATATACGTTCCCGACATGTGGAAACAGGGGATGATTACTTCTATTCTCAAAGAAGCTAGCCGTTCCAATCCAGCCAACTACCAACCAATAATCTTATTACCGGTTCTTTCAAAGGTCATGGAAGCTATTCTGATGCGCTAACCGCCTACTTGGAAGAATTTAACTACCTCGCACCGGAACAGCATGGCTTCCGAAGAAAAGAACCGTGCACTACAAATCTGCTATTAGCACGTTCCCGCTGGGCTGAAGTGGTAAACTCTGACACAGAAGTTGATGCGATCTTTCTCAATTTCTCAAAGACGTTCGATCGGTTAGACCATAACATTCTGCTCTTCAAACTCCAGACCTTTGGTATTGTTGATCATCTCCTAGGATGGATCAGAAGCTTTCTTCTACACCGGCGCCTGGAAGTACGTGTGTGTGAATTGCTCTCAGATCCCATCCGAGTTGAATGCGGAGTACCACGGTGATCGCTACCAGGACCGCGGTTATATTTAACCCATATTAGCGATATGAAATGCATTTTAAGCTCTAACTGCCTTCTGTATGCCGATGACATCAACATGTGGTGGCGATCAAAATACCAGTTAACCTCATAGTACTACATGCCGGTCTCAATAAGGAACATTCGTGGTCAACCTAGAATGTACTTTGATTCAATCTGGACAAATGTAGAATGTTGCATCTACGGCACAAGTTGGTGCATTCCTACAAACTCGGCAACCAAGAGCTTCAAACTTCTTCTGGCGAGAATGATCTGAGTGTTTTTGTCCAGCTTAACCTTAGATGTTCGTATAAAACTGAACCGGCATATAGGAGGAGCATCCAACTCGTGAGCCTCCCGAAGCGTGCATTCGGATGATTCGACTCTTCGATTATTCCACAGCATAGCCCATACATACGGTCACATGTGAATACGCAATACAGGCCTGGCAGCCATGTCTCAGGAGAGATCTCACCGTCTTGGAGATATCCCAGCGCAGGGCAACCAAAAAGGTCAAGGGTCTGTATAATTTACCCGATGAACGAAGGCATCAAGTGCTCGGGATCTTCAGCGGAAAATATCGGCCATTGCGCGGGGACCTCATTTTGACTTACCAGAATTTGAAAAATCCAAATCACATCAATTTGAGAGGTCACAATCTCAAGCTAGCGCAGCATCACAGTCATTTAGAATGCCGTCAGAATTTCTTTTCCGTATGGTATCCAGAACTTGCTATGTCTTACAGGAATCTGTCATATGCGCTCCCACGCTGGCAATTCAATGAACTATGATTTATCACGGGATAAAAGCAAGTGCTTACACGTCCCGTAGAATGGCTGGGATGAATATGATGAAATCAAAATATATCCGAGCCATCTACCGAACGTCTGCATAGATGAATACTTTGATAAATTACATCAGTGTAAAATTAAAAAAAATCGAGCGTAAACGTTCAGCAAGGGACTGGGGTGCAGTGGTCGTGGATGTAAGGCGTGAGAAAAGTAAAATGTGGTCGCTCACTTGGGTCCATTTGATACATAAATCATGTAGAAAACCATGCTTGGTATAATCCACAATAGAGGAGTCTAGGTAACAAAGTGTTGGGAGCTGAGAGCAACATCTAATCGATGTTTGAAAACGTCCAAGATAGGAGAGGATACAACTGAGTCTGGGAGTGCAGTCCAAGGTTGGCCGATACCAAGGCAAAAGTAACTACGTCGACACTTTATACGGCTATATTGTTCCTTCAATTTTAAGCAGTTACTCCTGAGCTGCGTGTTGTGGCAAAGTTTCAGCAAATGGCGGCATACGTGGTTGGGGTCACTCAATATCTGATACGTTAATATCAGATCGCCGCTCAGCCATCGACAGCGTCCGCTGAAAATTCCCAGTAACTTGAGCCTTCCGTGGTAACAGTGATAGCGCAGACCCTTTACATTCTTTGTTGTGGTGTCTCTAACGCCTCTAGGTCGCGCTTCAATCAAGGTTGCCAAGCTGGGATAGTGTATTCAACATGCGGGCGTACGTAGGAATTGTACACCATTGGGAAAATTGATGGGTCGAATCTCCCGAGTGCCATTCGCAGCACGCGGACGTACTGGTTGCCTCTTTTCGCAGCTACCTCAGCCTGTTTTGAACAGTTGAGGTCGCTCTGTACGAGCACACCAAGCTCGCGTTCCTGGGAGCTGGTCTGTAATCAGTTTGTCCCAAGTAAATAGGTGTCGTTATGTCTATGGCGTGATTGTACAACGCGACATTTGTCTACGTTGAATGGTAGGGCGTTTTGAACTGACCAGTTCGACATTGTGTTTAGATCGCACTGGAGTCGTTCGTGATCGTCCGGTCCTCTGATCCTTCGCCATATCATGATATCTTCAGCAAAAGATAGGAACTCGGGAGAAATTGATCTTACCAAATCGTTAATGAACACCAAGAATAGACGAGGTCCAAGCACCGATCCTTGTGGTGCACCACACGTCACATCGATTGCATCAGCCAAGGATTCTCGGACTCTCATCAGTGCGGCTACCTCCATTAAGGATAGGAGTGATGACCCCTCGCTTCCATACTGGGGGAATACGGTTCTCCTCTAGACATCGCTGATAGAAAACAGCCAGTGGTTCTGCTGCCTCACTAGCTACCGCCTGCAGAGCCTTTGGTCGGAGGTTGTCGGCTCCGGGAGAACAGTGGATACGCAATGATAACAACTTCTTCAAAACAGCTTCCGCAGTGAAGGTGATGTTTTCTAAACCAGAAGGTGGAGTATTAGAAATGAGGAGAATGTTTGGCCTCGTTACCTGCTGGAAAGATTGGGAGTAATGAAGCCGTAGGAGATCGGCTGCTTCCATTGCTGATCGCGTGCACCCATCAGCCGGGACTAGTGCCGGAATCCCCCGCTTCACTTTTCGAAGTCCGTTAACGTGCCTGTACAGAAGTTTGCGGTTCGTACAGAATCGCTTCATTAACTTCTGCTGATGAGTGACCTTATCTTCACGGATCAGTTTCACACAGAATTTACGATGTGTCACGTATGCAGTCCAGTTTTCGGCATTCGAGCAGTCCTGGTGATCTCGCCATGCCAAATCCCTCCGGGACATACATTTACGTGTTCTGCTCCTCAGAAATGACTTATGCTTGTTCTCCAGTTGGAAGGACTTCTGTTCCGATACGTGCGCTCCCAGTGTGCTAAACGTCCTTGTAAAGGTTTCCCAGGAAACAACTGGGGGCATTCTGTTAAGGAAGTCCAAGATGTATCCTTAACAAGCGTAGATAACACATTGTGGTGCGTGACATTATGCACTTTTCATCCTCCTTTTCAGGATACTCCGCATAGCATATATAGTCAAGGAATAGAGTTATATGGTCACTACGACCTAGTGGCTTGCTTGTAACTATCCTGTCAACCATGAGTTATTCGTTAGTTAGCACAAGATCCA